AACAGTGTGCTCCGATACTTTTCTACTTGGCCCTGCATTGTATCCGGCTGTCGTCTGAACCACTGTCTGGCTCCGGTTTTGCTTCACCATGCGAGACAGTCTCCGACGACCTTTTCCTTTGATAGCGTGTGGACGTCCAACACCATGTCGTCTACTGCTGGTTTCACCGTCATTCATCCACTTTTCATACGTACTAACAACTGTAGATCGCGAACAACCCACGAGTCGTGCAGTTTCGGAAATACTTGTTCCGAGCCTTCGAGACATTACAATCTGCCCTCTATCAAAGTTGCTTAGATACACAGCCTTTCCCATCACACACAGAAGTAAGTGAAAGAATGATTCTTCAGACTCTCCAGCAGCACTTAAATACCACTTCCACCTGATCACGTGCCTTCCACGTCATCCAGGCGCGTTCATTGCAAAATGTAGGGCTGGTCATGTTGTTTTGGCTCTTGAGTGTATTTCATATCGGAGTATGCACGCTCGCAGATATATGTACTTTCAAATATTGATACAATTTGAAGCATAAAATCTCTCAATTTTGGATATTTTTCTTTATCTAAAAATTTGAATATTTCTATTCCAGTTACTCCACGAGATGTAAAAAATGCGTCAGCCTGCAGGTCGCATAATTCTATTTGATATTTAAGATCAACGGAGTTGATATCAATATTAATTGGATCACAAAATAAATCAATAGACGGTTTAAGATCATCAAATTGAGAAAATCTTTCATTGAAATCTGTAATTAGCATATCCAATTTTGGAAGAAATATTTTAAAATTCGCTTCTATATTACATTCCTTCATAGATCTCTTTGGAAGATTCAAAATGAATATTTATAAAGGCAACACACATTTTGATCTTGTCCTTGCAAGGATTTATTCAAAATATTTAAATAATTTGTAATGTTCATAAGGAAAGCAAGTGAATAAATAAAATTTTTATTAACTAAATTTGTTGTCAAATTTTCATCGATAGCAATTTCTGCGAGAAAAAAATGAACTTCTTATGTAAAGAATCTTCTCAAGCACTTTCCAGCACTTAACCAACGAACGTTACTATGTAAAAGCAGGTCTCCATACTCAGTTTTCCAATTCATCCAAAAATGTTTTAAATTTTTGGTGTGTAAGAGAACAATTTCCGCCACGAATTAAATTAGTAATTTTGCAAACCTTGTCCATTACGCTTTTTAATTGTAGGGATAAACTTCATAATGCCTCCTGATGGATAATACAGTGTAACATACAACATGTTATTCCTTCTTTTTGCAAAAGTCCCGCGAACCCAATATTTTTGCCCGTCATAGCTCTAGCACCGTCAGTTACAATAGCAGTGCACTTGTCAAATCCGCCATACTGATCTACTGAACATTTTAATTGTTTGTAAATATCTTCACCTTTTGTTGTTCCATGTAATGATTGTAATTTTAGTTCTTCTGAATAATTATAGTTTTCATTTACAGTTCTTATAAAGATAAGCATTTGATTTGTATCGGAAATGTCTGTGCTTTCATCCAATACTGCCGAAAAATAGCAGCAACTAATTGATTATGTTTTCTAATTTATTAGTGACATGCATGCTAATCTCGTTTACATGTCGGCTTACAGTCTGGTGAGAAAGTGATACTGTTTGAAATTTTCTTATCATTTCGTTGTCATTAAATGCTTTACTATTTCTAAACAAACTTCAAACGATGCAGCTACAGATGCTTCTTGAAATTCTGGTTCTTGATTAAACTAAATCGTTTGATGATCCAGCTGTTTTTCATTTTTTTCATTAGTGGTATTTTCATGTCTCACATGTACGAATGATACTTTTTCATGCTTGAACGATAATGGCCCTTCAAGTTATATTCTTTACACACAGCTATGATTTGTAAACATTCCAAACAATGGGGTTTACCATTCTTGTTCAGAATAAATAAATAATCTATCTCCAAGCGATCTTGAAATTTTCGATTTTCAAGGTCTATTTTTCTTTTATTAGTAGCACTCATATTCAATAATTATTTTAATTAATAAATAAATATGAAATTAAGTTAATAATATTATAACACAGTCACCTCTCAACAAATTCTAGACAAGACTGCACTCGCATGATTGCATGAATCAACCAAATAGTGCAGGTTAGTGTGCGCATCACGTGCGCCAACCATAGATAAACAACAACCAACCACAAAAATATTAAATTTGGTGCCAAAGTTGAGCCAACCATCATCAGACGGATTGCTGCTGTATTCAGCCAGGTTAAGTGAAGTTACGCAAACTAAATAGTACCTACTTTAAATTCAAATTAGATTTAAATTTTCACATAGTAAAATAGTTTTAATAATAATAATTTAGTTACATAAATTTATTCATAGTAAAATGCACTCGTGGGGCATAAAAATAATTTAGCGGGCAGTATACGGCCCGTGGGCCGCCAGTTGGACAGCCCTGATTTATAATGATAGAATAGGGACACTATTTTTTTTAAGCTTACTAAGGTCAGCTACATACATATGAAATTTTTGAGTCCTTACCATACTAGATGAAATTTAATATACACTTTAAAACTTTGTGAAATGTAGTTAAAATTTAGGAGGAATGTTTCTGAATAGGAACGAAATGACATGTCATTTTAAAAAAGGGCTCTTTTTTTCCTTTTTGGGGCAGTTAAAAAAACACATTTCTGATATAAAAAATATATAAAAATGTAATATAAAAAAACCACAAATTGTCTATTTGGTTCTCGACTTTCCTTTTACCTACTGACACTTACGAAAGGAGACACAAAACTGTCCCCTTTACCCCCCAATTTTTAGCACAATGCATTCTGCTTTCATGCACTTACATTTCACATTTTCTGACAGGGTTCATAGCCACATTTTAGTTAAAAAAATAAGCACCTATAAGCACTTTTCAAGCACATTTTAAGGAAAAAATAAGCACCTGTCTAATTACATTATACACAACTGCATAACCTTAAAAGAAAAATTAAGACTTATAATTTAAAATACAAGCAATGCAATATTTTATTTATTAAGAAAATGAGCATTACTTCAACCATGGAAAACAATTTTTTTTTTTAAATTTTAAATGACAGTTCAATTTACAGAATTAGTTTACAATGAGAAGAAGGAAAAAAAAAAAAAAACTATGCAGAACTAAACTATATTAGAAGATTTAATGATGAAATTTCAGTTCAAAATATAGAAAATAAATAATAATAAGCCATATTAATTGTATTCGTTTGGCACCTAATAAAAAAATACAGTTTATTTTTCCACTCATATTAATATTTAAATAATTTAACTTAAATCAAAATTCTGAACAATTTCTAAATTTTCATTGCATAACAGTTTTCCCTTAACATATATTCCAAGCAAAGTAATTTAAGTAAAAAAGAGGCACATTTCTGAAATCAGAAGACGGGATCATGCAGTCTCCTTTAACAGTAAAAGCTTAACTAACCCATATCCATATACTCGGAAATTGCCAAATATTCCAGATAGTAACTGGAAAAAGAGGAGTGGGGGAGATTGTAGCCGTTCTTTAGATTTCTCGGCTAAATAAATGATTTTGACCATTTCGATATGTGCACATCATATAAAAATAGGACCAACAAAACTTGAGAAATATTCTGCTTAGAAAGCACGGTAAAACTCTTTTAAGTGTTCATAAACAAATCTCAAGACTGAACATCAAAGTTAATTATCTCTGCAAAATACCGCAAACGTGTATTATTGCGCAATACATGCCACATAATTCTTCCATATGTGATATTATGCAATCGAAATCAACAGCTGCCGGTATTCGGAGAATAAAGAACTAAATAAAGGAAAAGAAAGAGACTTACTAATTTGGGGTGTTTCTGATTCTAAGTTTCAACAGAATGGATTAAATTTCCGGAATAGAATCAATCTTGGCTTAGGTTGGGTAGACCGCAAAAACTTTTAGTCCTATTCAATCCAGATTGGACAGTGGGGGGGGGGAAGAGAGAGAGAGAAATTATTTTGACTATTCGATTACTTTCCTTTTATTCAAGCCATTCTGAATATTATTCCCTAGAAAGCTAATCTGTGTAAAAACACACCCATTTTTGGAAGTTTATCTACACTTCAGCAGTTACTGCAACTATATTATTATAAATATTCATGCATATACTCATAATATAAGCATAATGATCATAATAAAAACGAATATGAACTGACCACGTGGAACGAGTATGCAAACTATTAATATCTTGATATCTTGATAGAAATTCAAACGTGTGTAGTATTTGGGTGGGAGGAAAAGAATACCGAATGTAAAAGAATTTTCTACCATTTTCGCAATTGTTTGATCAATAGAATGACGTGCACCTGTCTGTACTCTCGCGCGCAATGCAGAGAAAGGGGGGAAAAGCAATTTCCAGGAGTATGATTCACCATCTGACATTGCATATAAGGAAGAAAAGTTGTTTATTTAGTTTCGGCTTTGGTACGGAAAAAAAATGCACGTTCATTAAAAAAAAAAAAAGCACTAAAAATAAAAAAAAAGTAAGCACCTATAAGGGCCTTTATATTTTATTTTCAAATATAAGGACTTATAAGCACTTGTAAGGACCGCTACGAACCCTGTCTGATAACAGATTAAAGTTCAAAATGCAGTAATTCTTACGTTCAATGTGTAATTGTATATTAAATCAGAATATACATTCTTTCAATGCTTACATCAAATCTTTCATTAATATATCGAAATTAAGAATATTACTTTGATAACTAGTTTTTAAAAATCACCAATACAAAAGAAAATTAATTATCAGATCTCAATCGGGACAAACATCATTTTAAGCACTTATTAAAATGAACACATTGGAAAAAAACAGCTTAATAATTTTTTCTTCAGCTATTTGATAAGCCATATGGTTTACTATTACAATATAACTTAATATTAACTTTTTATAGCATTTAACAAACATTCTTTGATGAGAAAGGAAAAACCCACAGTAAAGTAAAATTGATAAAAACTTACCTCACCTTGAAAACGGTCCCTTCTACTTAACCATGCTTCTAGCTGCAAATAAAATTCATCATTATGAAAAGGGAGAATCAATGATTTAATACCAAAAATGTTTAACTTAAATATCAAGAAAGAATAAAAATGTTTAGTTAGCATTCTGATGAAAGATGAGTAACTTTTCGTAAAGCAAAAATAGAGTGAAGTATCAATTTACTTACAGAGTTAATTATTTCTAACTGATTAATAGAGCTGGAAAGGAAATTAAATTATTTTTACATGCAACAGAACTTAAATCATCAAGACCAACTGGATAAGGAAAAAATTTCTTTTCTTTACATTAAATATCTACATACTGTAACGTAAGTAAGGAAATTTTACACTTTTATTTATCCTGTATTATTTTGACAAGGATAATACAATTTAAAAGTATAACTTTTTTCACTAAACAAAATGCAAAATACAACTACTTCATTGAAACTGATTAACAACATTATTTTTTATTTGCTTAACCATATAGCCAATTTCTATTTCAAGAAAATTTTTTTTAAAATTAGTTTTAACATGTTTAATCCTTAAAACAAAACAAACAGCATTTCACTGCAGCAAACAAACACAACATTTCTTACTTTTTTAATTATTTTAACAAAAGATTGCATTCATCTGCATTTAATTAAGCGCATTAACTACTTCTATTGAACTACAAATTAAATTAAGATATTATCTTTTTCACTGAGAGAAAATAATGAAATAAAAAATGTAATTCATATATAACTGAATGACTTTTAAAAAATAACAATGATTTAAATGGCAAATACAGAATAGTGCTGTTAGTACTTGAAACATCAAGCATTCAGTTCAGCCTGATTGTTCATTCAACAGCATGCCTGCAGCTACCTGAATTTGAAGATGATATAATGATTGATGCTAGAACAATGAGTCATATAGTTGAAGAAATTTTGGAAATTCAGTTTTCAAGGCCTACAAGATCAAGAGTGCATCTTAAGCTGTAGTTGTTTGAAGTATAACTAGTGATTGTGTTCTGTGATACTGAGAACAGATGTATGAATACTTCTGTGGAAAGTTAGAGAACTGTAAAGTGTTCTTTTTGGTAAAATAAACTTTATCAAACTGTCATCAGCTCTGTGTGTATTTAATCTACTATGAACTCGTATGCAAGCAAGAGTTTTTGGTGTCAGAAATAGGATTGAAATTGCCAGAGACAAGAGTGATGGAGGACCATCTGAAACAGACGGTGGCAAGCTTTCTTGCATTCAAAGAAGAGATGAATGTGGGCAAAGAATCCATTAAAGAACAGATGGAACAGGAACTTAAGTCAGTTCAAGAGGAAATGAAAAGAGAATTACTGCAATAATAGAAAACAAATTTGAAGATAAAGAGACATCGGTGAAAACTAAATTGGAAAAATTGAAGAAATGCTTTCTACCGCCAAACAACATATTGAAGGTCTTCTGCTGTCAAACAAGAAATTGGGGAACGATTTCTGCTGCTCAACCACAAATCGGACAAAACGTTTCTGCTGCAGACATCAAGGAAACTGACAGCTTAAAGAAATCTATAATAGCAACAGGAAACAATTCTGATGCTTTCAAATTCCTAGCCATGTCTTCTCGTACCTCTCTAAAACTATCCACACAGAATGGGAAGACATCTTGGTCAGGGTCCAAAATTCAGCTCTTTACAGTGGAAAACACAGCCAAATGGGATTCCTAAGCTAAGGCTTGCCACCTCGCAACTTTTCCGAGAGAGAATGCAGCAAATATACTCCAAACCAGATGCTAGACTTTGAAGTTCTACCTGATGCATTGCAGCAGCATTTTGGAAAGAAGTGCTTGAAAGACTACGGTGGGCTTCACTTAAATACTCATGAAAAGAAGCCCACATACACACTCCAGGAGCTCACCATGGATGGTGAAAGGCCTTCTCATCTTGCTTTTTTGGACTGCCCAACAAAAACAAGGGAATTCCTGTTCCCGTCTTACCTTCATCGATGGCATTCAGGATCCTGAGATACAGAAAGCCCTGCAAATCTCGGATGTCAAGCCAACCCTAAAATGCTGTAATTGTGGAGATGAAGGCTATGTAAAAAGGGAATCCATAACATCCCAGAGCGCAGAACTTACGACCGCTCTCCAGCAAGAAGACAGATAACAAATTAGTGGCCATCTCACACAGTGGAGGTTGCCAAATAATGAGAAGCTCCATTTTAAAGCACTTCTAATTTCTGGAATGTGTGGCAATAGTAATGTATTCTTGATTATGGGACATAGAAATTGAGTCCTTTGCAATATGACCATTGATACAGGAGCCATAGTATCAATGGAGCAAATTTGGCTCAACAACTAGAACGTGAACTTAATTGCCTCAGCACTCATTAACTTATCAAACTCCATCATCCCATTGAGAGTTGCCAACAAGTGATAAAACGAAAATCATTAGAAAAGGCAAGTGGCTTCCGGATGTACTCCAATAACCTGTGTCAAATGCACCCATAATCCTTCAGGTTCTGCATCTTCAGAGAGCCAAACATCAGAGTTATTGCACAATTACATGATGAAGAGAAGAGTGCTGAGGAGCTTGTTCTTCAAGAAGATTTTTCATGCTCGTTCTCTGTCATAGGTTGAATCAGTTTAGATCAAGACAAAATTGATATGGGAGATCACCCACCAATCAAGCAACATCCAAGATATATATCGACTGCTAAAGAGGAGGAAGGGAAACTTCTAAAGGACATGCAAAAAAATAATATTACAGAGCCTTCAACAAGTCCTTGGCCTCTCCTATCATCCTGGTTTGAAAGAAAGCTGGATCAACTAGAATTTGCATTGACTATCAAAACGGCTGAATGAGGTTAAAAAAAAAAAAAAAAAAAGACAGAAAGCTACTCTCTTTCTAGAATTGACAGAATTCTGAAGGCAAGTGGTTTTCAACTCTTGATTTAATAAAACACTGGCAGTGGACACTGGCAAGTACAGATACATTCTGATGAACAAGAACAGATGGCATTTGCTACCAGACAAGGACTTGCAATTCAAGGTGATTCAATTTGCATTATGTAATGCACTGGCAACATACGAATGCTTTCTGGATACTGTGCTGAAATTCCCTAATAAGCTTGTCTGATATACCCTCATTATTTTGGAAAGTCTTGACTTCAGTTTATTATAATGAGCAAGAGTTATTTATCACAGGCAAGATATACTCGCATAGTCAATGAGCTAATTAGTGAGATGGATATTTTGTCAGAGACAGAGCACACTAAAAGCCTGCCTTCACTTCCAGCGAAAAATTTTGTTTCTTCATCTTGTGGATAGCGCTTCTAAAAATTATTTCTAAAGGTATGCAATTTTTTTTATATTTTCATGCAAAGGAAAAAAATTATTAAATGGCAATTTTAACAGACAAGATAGCTTAAGTTCTAATCTAAAATAATACCCAAAATTCTGATGTTAAATTTCTTTCCTAAAGCTAGGTTTAGCGATGAAAAAATCCTGCATATCCTGTGGGACGATTCCTGTTGAATCCCATTCATCTCAAGGGAATGTCTTAACCATCCAAGTGATTAGTGTGTGTAATCTCAAATTTATCCAAGTGTAACCTCAAATTTTGAAGTTTCTCAAAATGTTATGAATAAATGGTACTTTCTTGATTATAATTAAAAACCCATTCACTCACTTTGTACCTTGATTTCTTTCTTCCAATATACATCCAACCTGAAATCAGATACATTACAGGCAGGCAGAAATTTTCATGTGTAATGAATAAGAAAGCCACCCTTCTATATGGAATTTTACGTCTGTAACGCCGAGAGGGTTCAAGAAAGGTATGCCATCGCCAAAAGATTCAAACTAAGCAAAAAAATTAAACCGAGTCTGACAAAAAGTTTGAATAACTATTGATTTTGAGGGTGGTCAGAAGGGTAGTTTCTTCTACAGAAGAAAAAAATTCTGGAAAATCTTCCCCTTTTCCTTGCTCCCTTAAAAAAAAAAAAAAAAAAAAAAAAAAAAAAAATCCACGAAAGCATTTACAACAGTTGATTTTCTTTACCCAGTTCTTTAATTTTACATTGGCATTTTTTCTTTCAATGAAGGATGCCCTCCAAGTATTAAGATTAGGGGTCCAGCATCAGTCAATTTCCAGAAACATTATGAACAGTTCATAAACAAATTTTTTCTTTATTTAAAATGCTGTTAATGGTTCAGGTCAAATTTATATTACCTTACTTTAATTTTAGCTATGTTCATATCCAAACACAGTTGTGGACAAACCTCACCACATTAAGTGGCAAATACTGGATAGTATTTTAAGGAAAATGATGAAATGGATTAAAAAAGTCATACAGTACAAAGTCCGACATCCAGATTCATCGGGACTTCGGCGATTCTGGATATTAGATCATGAGTTTAAATCTAGTAAGATGGCATGTAGAAATTATAAAATTAAAAATAGGAAATCATGATTTATGAAATAATGAAGTATTTATGATTTAAAGCAGGGGTTCACAACCGGTGGTACGCAAAAAAGCAAAGTATTTTTAACTATATGAAACTAAAAAATTAAAACCCCAACATCTTGACTTTTTTCTCTAACAATCATAAATTTATGCGATTTGAGCTTTGTTCAAGAGTGGTGGTACTAAGGGTTTTCAATTTTTTTTAGATGGTACGTGTTAGTCAAAAGGTTGAGAACCGCTGATCTCAAGGCTATCAAAATTTACAAAAAAAAAAAAAAAAAAAAAAAATAAGGCTTAATATTTATGTGTTTACGTTATTAAACATTTCTTTTAATGTAAGTTGCTTCGTTTCTTGCGCTAATACATTATCTTTAATTGTGTAGACAGATATAATCTCTTGTTCAGTTACATGGTTGAAGTACTGTAACTGCTGTTTCGAGAATTCTGACTAACTTGACAATTGAAATTTTCTCGTTTTCAGTAACTTCTCTGTCACTTTCTTCACTACCGGTAGTGTATTTTCTGAATCTAGAACCATACTACAGATTTCGCCATTCATCACTGATTGATGACTGAGAAGCAC